CACGTCCCCTTTGCCTTCAGGGACATCGGTGTTTTGACCTGTGAAGATGATTTCCTGTGCATGAAGTTTTATCCGACTGTGTTAAACGTCTGGAGAGCGCTGAGACCTCGTTGCAATGCTCCACAGTGTAAGCTGGTGATGTTTTGAGGGCTACTTCAATTTCTTTGGGAATCCTGTGGAAGGGTGATCAATCGACCGCTGTTGGCCAGCCTGGACACGGCAGGCCAGTCAGATGCCTTTCCCCACGCCTGCCCCATAGCTGCTTTCTCCATTAGCTCTTCTGAGCGTCTGGATGCTGGCCGCTGCAAAAGGCCTGGCAGCGTTACTGTACAGCCTCAATATTCTGCCATGCTCCTCCAGAGCAGAACAAAGGTGGATGGAAGAGGCTTTGGAGGAGGGTTTTGGAGAGAAGGCTTTCTTTTGGCTTGGGAGACAGGTTTGCTTCCTGTCAATGAGAGCCCTGAGAAAAGTGCCTCAGAAACCCTCCAGCAGGTCTGTGTCTCTTTGCAGAGAATGTGGCCGGCACACCCGACTGCCTTGAGTGGAGAGACCACCGCTCGTGCGATCCAGATGTTCCCAAGGTGAGTGCATTTCCTCCGCAGCCCTTGGCTTCCCACCTCCTCCTTTGGAACGTGCGCGGTCGGGTCTCCACGCTCAGCATCCAGTCGGGGCTAAATCCTGAAAGACTGGGTCCTGGTTAACTCATGCTGACTTTCGGCTACGAGTGTCTTCACCTGAGGAGGGGCACTGCGGTTGTGCTTCTTGTGCCCGTGCTGCCGCGATTCCCCTCAGAGAGAACTGCCTGCATGTGGAGGGGAATTTAGGCTACCTTTTCTGGTGTTGCGGGAAGCTTGACAACAAACCCCATGCGTGAACGTGACAAAGGGATGCCATGTCCCGTGCAACACCAGGAGGATTACTGCCAGTGGTCCCTCTGGGGGTCACCCGTACTGAAGGCTCGTAGTCTTCCTCCCAGGCTTTGTCCTTCGGTCGTTCTTCAGCTTCCCCCCTCTCCTGATTTAGTAGGCTCTGGGCCGAATGTCAGAAAGTTGTGTCTCGTGCAATATCAGCAGTTATCTCAAGAAAACCTTCCCCCCTTCTCAACACCGTTCTTTTGCAAGATAAGCACTCTGTTTCTCTTGGCCTTGTGCTTACCCACGGGTATGTAAGACAGAAGGCCACGTTTCATCGTGAGGCCCTAGCAGTGTTGCACGTTGGCACGAAGCAGACGAACTCTTTTCCCAAGAAGGGCTGAGGAACAAAGCCTTGGTCCCGTCAGCCCGATCTCCCAGTCACAGCCAGGCCCAAGCGCTTCCCCTCCTCCCTCCCGCTCCTCCCTCAGGGCTCGCCTCTCCCCAGGCTGGGCTCCGATTGGCTGCCGGAGCCGCCAGGCAAAGGGAGCCCCACCCTCTGCCGGCTGGCTGGGGCTCGCTGCCATGGCAACCCTGCGACCCCCCCCCTGAGCAGGCGGGGCGGGCGCCGCCATCTTAGGGGTGCTGGGCGGGCCGGGGCTGAGGGGGGGACGTGGCCGGTGTGCCCGGGGCCCCCCTGCCCGGCCCCCTGTTGCGTTGGCTCGCTCCCTGTGCCTCAGCACCCTTCGTCCTTCCCTTTCCTTTTGTGGTGGTCCAATGCACGAGAAGCCCGGCAGGGGGCAGAAAGGGCGGCCATTTCATGGCAGAAGCAATAGGGGCTGGATGCTCCTGCCATGCTCCTCGTGGCTTGACAGAGCGGCACACTGCCACAGGCACGGGGACAAGCCTGGGCAGCCTTGGCCTGGGTGTGACTGTGAGATGGGGCTGACAGGACAAAGGCTTTGTTCCTCATCCCTCCTTGTGACAAAAGTTCATCTGCTTCGGGTCAACATGGAACACTGGTAGCACGGGCACAAGCAAGCAAGACCCTGTCGGCCTGAAGTGGAGAGGGCGAGCAGAGAGATGGGGGAATATCCTGGGTCCGTGCCTAGGATAATCAAGTCCCAGGGCCTAAGCCGTGTGCTGGAAACCTCTGGGCTCTTCCCTAGCCAAGGGATGGTGGCAAATCCCTGGGAGGGGGGGTGATGGAAGAAACGGAGGATGCGGCTCTTCTCCAAAGCTTTCCAAAGGTGCCCCACCTTGCCCCATTGTCCCTCAGGAGCGGGCAGGGCACAGAGCAGTGTCCCCCTGCTCTGAGAGTCATCCCTTTTCCCGTCTCTCAAGAACTCCCTCCTCAGCCTTTCTGTCTTCTCTGTGTGCAGGCTGTTCAGGTTGGCGGGACTCGGGACCTTTGCTGTTCTCCAAGAGCAATTCCACGTCAAGCAAAAGCGGCTCTTGATTCGCAAACCGTTCTTCCAGCTGGACATTGATGAGGCGTGGCTGGAGGACATGTACTGTCCCCCTGAGATCCTCCCTGGTGAGAAGGCAGCAGCCCCCTCGTCCTGCCCCATGTCCGGAAGGATTTGTTCTCCCTGCTCTTTGGAAAGGCCTGGGAGAGGCAGAGGATTGTCTCCAACGGTCAGGGGTAGAGCTTGAGTTCCCCCAGAAGACCCCGTGGCCCCGGAGCTGCTTCTCTTAGCGACCTTCCTCTAGGCCCTTGTTCGGAATGCTGCAAGCAACTTGGGCTTGCTGTGGCACTGAGGATGTTGCTTCTCCTTGCAGATGACGTCAAGGTCGAGCAGCTGAACTACCTGCAGCTAGCGCAAGCCACCTCCTTCCCACTGTACGTGGGCAGGAGTGTGTGCAAGAGACCATCATCTTGTACTGTTGCCTCCTGAAGAACAAGGAGCACGTCCCCTTTGCATTCAGGGACATCGGTGTTTTGACCTGCGAAGATGATTTCCTGTGCATGAAGTTTTATCCGGACTGTGTTAAAACGTCTGGAGAGCGCTGAGGACCTCATTGCAATGCTCACAGTGTAAGCTGGTGATGTTTGAGGGCTACTTCAATTTCTTTGGGAATCCTGTGGAAGGGTGATCAATGCGACCGCTGTTGGCCAGCCTGGACACGGCAGGGCCAGTCAGATGCCCTTTGCCCCACGCCTGCCCCAGTAGCTGCTTTCATCCATTAGCTCTTCTGAGCGTCTGGATGCTGGCCGCTGCAAAAGGCCTGGCAGCGTTACTGTACAGCCTCATATTCTGCCATGCTCCTCCAGAGGCGAGCAAAGGTGGATGGAAGAGGCCTTTGGAGGAGGGTTTTGGAGAGAAGTGCTTTCTTTTGGCTTGGGATGACAGGTTTTGCTTCCTGTCAATGAGAGCCCTGAGAAAAGTGCCTCAGAAACCCTCCAGCAGGTCTGTGTCTCTTTGCAGAGAATGTGGCCGGCACACCCGACTGCCTTGAGTGGAGAGACCACCGCTCGTGCGATCCAGATGTCCCAAGGGTGAGTGCATTTCCTCCAGCACCCCTTGGCTTCCCACCTCCTCCTGTGGAACGTGCGCGGGGGTCGGGTCTCCACGCTCAGGCAGCCAGTCGGGGCCTAAATCCTGAAGAGGACTGGGTCCTGGTTAACTCATGCTGACTTTCGGCTACGAGTGTCTTCACCTGGCGAGGAGGGGCATGCGGTTGTGCTTCTTGTGCCCGTGCTGCCGCGATTCCCCTCAGAGAGAACTGCCTGCATGTGGAGGGGAATTTAGGCTACCTTTTCTGGTGTTGCGGGAAGCTTGACAACAAACCCCATGCGTGAACGTGACGGAAGAGGGATGCCATGTCCCGTGCAACACCAGGAGGATTACTGCCAGCAAGCAGCAACGGGTAGGAGGCCAGCCTTCTTCAAGCCCGTGTCATTTGTTTGCCAGGTTTCATCTGACTGTGAGGACAAGGCCAGAGGCCAAAGTGCGGTTCACCTCGCAGCAGCAAGCTGCAGGAGAGTGCAGGATGAGAGGAGGTAAGGGTCCGTGCTGTCTGGGGGTGGTCCCTGCCCCATGCTGGCTGACTGCAACCAGCTTAAAAGGCAGTGCCCATGCGGCTGCTCTGAAGAGCTTCCTCCTTTCCTAGTTTCATTGTGCCATCCTGGCAAGCTGCTGGAGAGGCGGAAGCTTTCCCTCCCCACGGTGAGAAGCTGGGAGCCAGGCACGAGGCAGCAAGATCTGGAGAAGAAGCCTTCCACCAGGTGAGACCCTTGGGGGAAAGGAGGAAGGAGCCACTTGCAGCCACACAGGAGAGATGTCCCCTTTGGACCCACCAGGCGCAGGGACTCAGAAAGGCTCCTGACACCCGTCCCGGAGGAGGCCGCTCTCTCCACGCATGGCAAGCGTGCAGCACGTTTGCCTGAGACTGGCACGCCAGCTTCATTTTCCACCAGGGCCCTGATCCTTGGGGGAGCTGGATGCAGAGCCGTGTTGCAGAAGCTCTTGTCCCTTCAGGAGCCCCCCCACATTGCAAGAGTCCATCTTTTTGTCTGTGGGAGCAAACGTCCCCTGCGGTTTCTTCCAGCTGCCCCGCAGCTTCTTCCAGCCTAAGGAGCTGTGATACCAGATGGAAACGTTTCTTTCCAAACGATATCCCAGACTTCATGGGAGGCACAAGAGAGTGCCGAGGGAGGGAGGTGGCATGCCTGCCCTCCTTGCCTGATGGCGTTCTCCGATGTTGCTGGCTCCCCAGCGATAATCTGCTTTCCACCCATAAACCCGGCTGGGCCGTATTGGTGTCTCTAGGATCCTGTCCTTGCACAAGACACTGCTCCTCTCCTTCTGCCACCACAGAGGGCCTGGATACGGGCATCGCGAGCCTTCCTGAAGGCAGCTGGTGCCACTGCTTCGCGGTTGGCTCTCTCCGTGTCTGCTGAAGCGAACACGGCCAGTCCAACACCCATTCGCTGCGGAACTGCCGTCTGCTGCAGAGGCTGACGCAGCTTGCGAGCGCGGACTGGAGACCGAATTCCCCTGGGCTCATGCAGCCTCCCGGTGTCTGTTTGCAGTGTGCTCCCCCCGTGTCCAGGCAGCTCCCCCAGGACAAAGAAGACAGACAGGCAGGAAGCAGCTCCTCAAGCCAAGTCCACCAGCACTGCGCTCCCTACTCCCGAAGCCTCTCGAGATTGGTGCAGGTACCTGCTCTGCCTTGCTGCAATGACCACGCGGTTTGGGACTGTACTAAAGCCTCTTTGTGTGGAGCGATCCCAAGCCGGACCCTTGGGATGCGTTCATTTTCACACTTGTTACCTCCTTCTTCTCTTCCTCGGGAGATGGAAGGTGGTGTCCCGCACACCTTCCCTGCCTCTTGCTGCCTCCCGTGTTGCCATGAGCCGCTTCATTTGGACCAGGGGCAATGGAAAAGGAATGAGGGCTTTCTGGGTCTTTGATGGCAGAGGTCTTTGGTCCAACAGCTGAGACCAATCCTGTCTGCCGTTGTGTTTTTTGTTTGTTTTCCTCCAGGAGGTCTGGAACCTGTCCTCGCAGTGGGACCAAACAAAGAGCTCATGGCCCTTGTACCAAAAGCGAATACAGCAAGCCCGGGCAGAAATGGCTGCTTGGGAAGCCTGGTCTCAGGGGGAGGACCGAGAGACACCTCAGGTACTGGCCGTGACCAACACCGCTGAGAAGAGCAGCGATCCTCCCCGCCAGGGCTCCGAGGGGGCAGGTCCCAGGGTGGTGGGAGCAGGACGGGCACCAGGGCGCAGGGCAGGGCTTTGCCTGCTCCTCCCTGTGAGGGAGAGGCTGTCAGCAGAAAGCGAGGGATCAAAGCAGCAGCCAGACGTGGGCCGGCAGTGCCGAGTCGCCTGCTTCCCAGGTCCTGCTGCAGGGTCCTTTCAAGGGGTCCTCTGGGAAACAGCAGCCGTGTGTCCAGTCCTGTCTGATGAGAGCGTCTTCTCCTTGCATCAGGTCACCAGGCAACATGATTGGATTCCCCATCCCCCAGCCCAGGAGCAAGGAGGTCGTGAGGAGGTGGAGGAAGGTTCAGATCCCTGCCGCTGAAGAGGAGTGGGAGAGCGGCAGCCAGCTGGAGAGCCTCCAGCCTGAGTAAGTGTGTGCCGGCTGCGTTCACGTGCTGGGGCACTCGAGTAGCTGCTGAGCGATGTCAGGAGATGTCCAGCCGCCCGGTCCCTGAGTCCTGGGCTTGCCTATGACACCCTTGGCTTTCTCCTAAAGCGGGCATGACCTTGGTTACCGCCAAGGCCTAAAACTCATCACAGGGCGAAAGGGTGGGTGCACGTGGCACCGCGTGGGTGCAGGGTCTGGATGAGGGGAGAGGCAGAAGGGGTGTCTGGCAGAGGCTGAGGGATCCCTTTGTCCTGGTGTTGCAGCCACCTTTCCCCACGAGCACTGCAAGTTTTGAAAAGGTCGGAGCCGCATCGCAGTCAACAAAGGGTGTTCAGAAGTGCTGCGGAGGAAAAGCGGCTGCGGCAAGAGCAGCAGCGGCTCCCCTGGTAAGTATCTCCAGAAAGGGATGGTGCTTCCCGCTGCTGCAAGGCCCGTCCTTCCCGTGGGGGCAGCACTGGGACAGAGAGGGCATTCCGGGGCCCTCCGCTCCCCCTGCCTCAGCCCCAGGCTGATGAGCTTGGGCACTAGGCATCTGTCGCAGCTGACGGCAACCTTGAAGCTTCATGGGAAGCAGACCCCTACGTGCACGGCCCGAGCTAAGCCTGCAGTACTTCTCTGCGTTCAGCCTGTACACAACCTGATCATCCTCTTTTCTTTCTGACTCCCTAGCGCTAGATGCTGGTACCGCAACGGAGGGGAAGGTGCTGGGAATGCTGAAGGCAGCAGCGGAGCTCTGAGCAAAGGGGCTGGGAAGCTCTCCCGCTTTCCACCCCTGAATGGAAAATAAAGAGCACAGCCAGACTGCTTGTGTCGCTTCATCCGCCGTAGCAAAGCACTGCCCTGATTCACACCACCATCTCCATTAGGCACACGGGCACATCCCAAGGATGCCCAGGCTTCTCCGTGCAGCACACAGGCATCTCCCTGGAGCACCCAGCAATCTCCCCAGACCACCAGTCTTGCTAGCAGGACCTCGGCACAAGTCCTCTGATCAAGCCGTCTTTTCCAAGGAGCGTTCTGGCAACTCCCTGGGAAGCCAAACATGTCCCTGGGGAAGTAAAAGTCTCCCCTGGGAATACAAGCATCTTCCTGAAGCACCCTCCATGGCACCCAAGTATCTCCCCAGGGACTATAGGCACTCTTGAAATCAGAAATACTTCCTGCAGGACACGTGAGCATTGAGCTGGAGTAGACAAGCATCTCCCCAGGACACCTAAGCACTACCTTTTCCCTCTCAGGCATCTTCCAAGGGCATTCCAGCACCTCACGGAGGATCCCAACTCTAGGTGGGTTCACCTGAACAATTTCCGCTGTGAACCCATCTCCTGCTGATGCTCTACGACATCGCCCAAAGGCATACAAGCATTTCTTGAGGAACCCAGGAACCTCTATAGAGAACCCAAGCACCTCCTTGGAAGAATGAAACACCTCCCTGGGGAACAGTAGAATAACCCCATGGGTGCCCAAGCACCTGCATAGGTCTCCCCAGAAGATCTTTCAGAACCAAGGAATTCCCTCCATTGATGAAGCACCTCTATGAAGAAATCCTATCCTGCCCCGGGTCAGAGAAACACCTCCCTGGGTAAATCACGCAACGTCCTGGAGGAGCAAAGGATCTTCTTGGGTGTACAAGCATTTTCCCGTGGTAGGCAAGCACCTCCCTGGGGACAACCAGCACCTGCCTCTGGGTCACTCATCCCCTTCCCTGTGGAACACGAGCATCTTGTCGGGACAACCAAGAACCTCCCTAAAGCACTGAACAACACACTTAGTGCAGTCCAGCAACTCCCTGGAGCACACAACCTGCTCTCTGCTGGACCAGGCAACTCGGAGGTTCCAAGTGACCCCAGAGGAATCAAGCACCTTCCTAGAGAGCCCAAGGATATTCCCAGGGCACACAAGCACCTCCCTGGGGCACATAAGCATATCCCTGGGGCAGAAGAAAAGCCTCCCTGGAGCACACAAACCTCTGCCCTCCTAACAAAAGTTTCTGCCCCTGCCATACAACTCCTGCAGCACAGAAGCACCTCCCTGGAAACACCCAAGCACCTCACTGGAGCACCCAAGAATCTCCCCACCGCACTCCTACATCTGAGTGGAGAACCCGAGCACTCCTCGGGTCATCAAAACACCACCTGGGCACACAAACTTGCTGTCATCCCTTGGAGTTTTCAGAAGTGATAAACTTTTCCTCTCTCTCCAGAAATGACTCTCGGTCTTTCCCATGACAGACCTGTCATGGGAAGACCGAGAGTCATTTCTGGAGCTTGAAGAGCTCAAGTTCCCCCAGAAGACCCCGTGGCCCTGGAGCTGTTCTCTTAGCGACCCTTCCTCTAGGACCTTGTTCGGAATGCTGCAAGCACTTGGGCTTGCTGTGGCACTGAGGATGTTGCTTCTCCTTGCAGATGACGTCAAGGTCGAGTCGCTGAACTACCTGCAGCTAGCGCGAGCCACCTCCTTCCTGTTATATGTTGCCCCCTTAATTAATTTTCAGAGAGCATTGCATTAATAATAGAAAGGAATTTATTGAGTAAGCAACAGCAAGCAAAACAGCGCTGGGCAGCCGGGGAGTCTCGGCTCCGCCAACGGCGCGCACCTCACCCCCGCCAGGGTCCCTTTTTATATCTTGGTAATTCCAGGATTATGCAGCACATCCTGGTATATTCTGCGACTGCGCGCACTGTTGCTAGGGGGTCATCTCTGTCCCTCTGGTGGTCGTGAAGATGAAGGCCGTAGTCTTCCTCGGCGTTGTGGTTCAACTTCTTTTTTTATTTGGTCATGTTGGCCCAGCGTGAGACAGGAAGGCAGGATGCTGATACGCTAGGTTAGCAACTTCTCAGGAGATGGTTACATGAGCTTTGCAGCAGGGTCTTTGAACAAAAGAGGCAACTGAGATGCAGAAGGAGAGAAGGGGAGGGGGTTCTCTTTTTTGTTACATTAGGCAAAAGAATTTTCATAGTGTCTAGCCAAGCATTATCCAGCTCCTTACTTCAGCAGGAAACCTTCGCAACTCCAGCTCCTCAAACAGAACTCCTTGTTTTTATAACACGAAAGACAATGAACAACATTTATTGTGTATTACACTTCCCAGCTCAAACTGGGACCCCCAGCCCCTTCCCATTATGAACTGGGACCCTTAACCCCTTCCCAGTATGAATTGGGCCCACCCCAGTACAAACTGGGACCCCCATACCCTTCCCAGTATGAACTGGGCCCATTCCACTGCAAACTGGGAACTTTCCCAGTACAAACCAGGGCTCCCAGCTCCAACCAGCTCAAACTGGGATTGTCCCCAGCTCAGACTGGGACCCGCAGCCCTTTCCCAGTATGAACTGGGCTCCCCAGCCTCATCCCAGTACAAACTGGGCCCATTCCCAGTACAAACTGAGACCCTCAGCCCTTTCCCAGTATGAATTGAGCCCATCCCAGTTCGAACTGGGCCCCCCAACCCCATCCCGGTACAAACTGGGCCCATTCCCAGTACAAACTGGGCGCCTTTCCCTTCGCCCCGCCACCGTTGCCAGGCAACCGCCACCGCCGTTCGTCTTTTCCCCGTTGCCAGGCAACCGCATTTGTCCCTCCCGTTGCCAGGCAACCGACGCCATTTTCGTCCTGCCCCGCCGGGCTGCCCGCACTGCGCATGCGCGCTCGCCGGCCTCCCATTGGCTCCCGCCCCCGCGGCTTCAAACGGTCCGGCGGGAGCGATGGCGGCGGAGGCTGCGGCCGGTGCGGGGGGGGGGGGGGGGGGGAATTTTGAGTGGGGGTCTGAGGGATTTTTTGGATTTTGGGGAAAATGGGGGTCTGGGGGGGCTCAGGGGGGTTGGAGAAGGCGTGCGAGGCTCTGGGGGGCGTCTGGCGGTGAGGGGATGCGGGGTTGTGAGGGGAAAAAGGGCTGATGGGGTGTTCGGTGAGGGGGAGAGGGGCTGTGAGGGGACGTTTTTGTGAGGGGAAAAGGGGCCGTGAGGGGAAAAAGGGGCTGTGAGGGAAAAAAGGGGCTGTGAGGGGCATTTTGTGAGGAGATGAGGGGTTAAGGGACACTTCGTGAGGGACAGGGACTGTGAGGGGATATTTTGTGAGGGGATGAGGGGCTGTGAGGGGGCATTTTGTGAGGGGGATGAGGGGTTAAGGGACACTTCATGAGGGGACAGGGACTGTGAGGGGGTATTTTGTGAGGGAACAAGGAGCTGAGAGTGGAAAAGGGGCTGTGACATGGCTGACAAGAGAGGCTTCAGGTACAAAGGCCCTGGACACACCCTCCTGGTCTGTCCGTGCCAGCAGGGCACAGCCCAGCTGCCTCCCTCCTGCACCAGCCTGTCTTTGATCTCTGCCACGCGATCCAAAGCCAGCAGTGCCTGTCCTCCCTCTGCACGGTCGCATATCCCAGCTCGACACGGATGTTTCTCTCTACTGGGAAGCTTCCAGCCCAGCTCAGCTGCCCCCCAGCTCTCCCACCTCCCTGCCCTCTCCCCAGCCCAGCCCAGCCCAGTAGCCTAGGCTGGGCTGGTCCCACGGCAGTGCCCATCGCAGGCTGCTGCAGGGCTCTGGGCACTGCCACCACAGCTCCAGTTCCCATTCACTCCTGATCAACTCAGAATGGGTCTCAGACCAACATTTATTTGGTTAAAATACACAGAGATCCTGGCTCCTTGACTACAGAAATCCTGGGTCACACAGAAAGGGTGATACTCAGGCAGGAAGGAATGAAAAAGGGCATTTTTGTGTAGGCAACAATATCACAAGGGCAGAAAGGAAAATTGAAGAGACAAATGCCATATTGAAAGGCAAGATGGCCTGTCATGAATAATACTTGGAGCCATCTGCAGAAGAAGGCAGACAGTCTGTGGCCACTGATAAACAACTAGTCAGCAGTTTGCATATTGAATCTTTGAGCTCCTGGTTCTTCATGCTGTAGATGAGAGGGTTCAGTGCTGGAGGCATCACTGAGTACAGAACTGCCACCACCAGGCCCAGGGATGGGGAGTAGGTGGAGGGAGGCTTCACGTCGGAAAAAAATCCAGTGCTGACAAAGTAACATGGAATGCCTGCCGCACAGTCATGTGAGGAAGGCACATGTAAAAAGGCTTTTTTTTTTTTTTTCTCTAGGAATTTTTTTTTCTCTAGGAAATATGTCCTTTCACTTCCATGACTTGAGATTCTTTTTGTGAGGTTCAGTTTACCATTACCATCATGGCATTGCCCATTGGCTCAAGAGTTAGAAGTCCTTTCCCAGTGCACTGCGTATATTGGAACATGGTAGGGCAAGTATTTTTTGTTCAGAATTTGACATATGAAATCACTCCTAGCACAGAAGGGACGTTTACATCTGCACTCCGAATGTGAAAAAAAAAAAGAAAAAAAAAAGGTGGGTGACAAAAAGGACTTTTAGTTTAGTTTTGCTTTTGCTAGACAGCATCCTCTCCCTCGTGATGCCCAAGCAGTGCTCTCTGAAGTCAGAAATCCTGAGCATTTCTGCTGCACTCACAGTGAATGGCTGTGAGAGCTGGCTGTGGGAGGGACCCCACGCTGGAGCAGGGGCAGAGAGAGACCATGAACTTTCTTAGTTCTCATTTAGTTTCTCACTGCTCCAGTCTACCAGTAGCACTCAATAAATTATGCTCGTCTTCCTAGAGTGAGTCTGCTTTGCCCATGTCTGAAATTGGTAAGGGCTCTGCCTGTTCCTTAAATGTACCCTGAAGCCCTTTTCCACGCTATTTAGTCCATCTGTTCCTTTGATGGGGAGCAGGTCAAAGAACAGTGTGCTGCCCATCAGTGTGCTGGATCTAGGGAGCTTTCAAGATGGAAAAAAAAAAACAAACAAAAAAACAATGACAAGTTAATACTGGCTTCCCAGAGTGAAATCTACTCCATTTCTCCTTGAACCCCTCCCTGCCACACTCCCTCACTTGTCATTCAGCCTCATAAGCTATATTTAATGAGTTTGAATATGATACTGAAGTATTCGGGACCTGTGCATATTGGGTCAGGAGGAAGCAGTCTTGTCCCTGTGCATTGGGTACATCAGAACATGGCAGAGGCTCCAAGTTATATTTTCAGAATTTGTCAGATGAAATCAATGCAGAAGGGCATACGGGGTGGTGTCCTAACAGGCCTAAAGAATGTGGAGGGCTGAGAGGACTTCTAGGAATTTTTGTTTTTTTCCTACACAACCTCATCATGCCCAAGGAACGTCCTCTGAAGTCAGAAGTCCTGAGGATTTCTGCTGCACCCACAGTGAATGGCTGTGAGACCTGAGAGGCAAAGGGATTCCCTTTAGCTCAGAGCAGGGTGAGGGGAGCTGGTTGGGCTTGTGCCCAATGGCCGTGATCTTGCTGCTTTTGGAGATGGATGGCAATCACCTTTATGGTACACTTCAAAGAAATCAGACACTGCTAAGAGCAGAGGAACCCACTGCCAATCTCTCAGTGCGCAGCCTTTCTCAAGGTACCTAAGCAAGGTCTCAGCACCACATGTCTTGCCAAGGACACTTATCATTTATTTCACCAACCCAACAGCATGTCCTCACATGCAGCATATCTCTGCTTCTTCCTGGGGCATTCACATAACACAGAGATACTACGGAAAAGATTTCTATCCTGCAGGGCAGCTCACAACTTGGAAGGACATCCCAGGGAGAAAGACAAGTGTCCTAATGATGGTGTCTCATTAAGGGAAAGTCAGCTCATTCCCCAGCCTCACAGAATGCACTGCCCACAGCCCCAGGCTGCTGTTCTCAGCCCCCTGCACCACAGAGGGAAATGGGCACGTGGCTGGAGAGATGCACCTCTGCTCTGCTGGAACTGTGGCTGCAGAGGACGTGCTTCATGCCCTGGACACACAGCAGTGACTGCAGGGGCTTTCCTGTGTGGGACAGGAGGCAAGAGGGCTTGCTCAGAGGAAGGGGGCTGCAATGTAGGGAATAATACAGACTTTTCTGAGAAGTTCTCCCTCTGACTACAAATCCGGTTTTTCTTTCTTCTCATTCCCTAACCATATTTCTTCTGCCTGAAGATTTTATAACTGGGGGATGTTTCCATGTCCCATGGTCTTTTCCCCATCTGTGTTCAGAGCCCTCCTGCCAACCTCTTTGCCCTTCAGAAACCAGCAGTTCCCAGAGCACTGCCTAGGTGCATATCCATCTTTGCAGATAGAAAACAGCCTGTCAGAAAGCCCTGACAGGTACAGCAAAGTTGCCAATGAAGCTGGCCATAAACAAAGGAGAGGCTGTAGGCAATTTATAAGCCTTCTTACAAGCCCACTGATCATCAAAGGAACAGTTCAGGAATCTTAGAGATGTGTTGGAACTTGACAGTTCCTTTTCCATTTCTTTCTGCAACCTCACCCAATCCTGCAAGTGCTGGAAAGGGAAAAGGAAGCAGAAAATTCTTTTCTGGATTTTTGTGTGTTTAGTGGATTATTTCTCCAACATATGTCACACCTTTCTGTGACTGACCTAGGAGCCTCCACCATGTTCCTGCATATAAATGAGAGGGGTTTTGCCTCTCGGGGACCAGGGCTTGGGACCAGGGCAGGAAACAGGACGAGGGCTGGGGTCCAGGACCAGGGCTGGGGACCAAGACTGGGGACCAGGGCTAGGAACCATGTCTGGGGACAGGATCAGGGCTGGGGACCAGGGCTGGGGATCAGAACAGGGCTGGCTGTGCAGTGCTGGATGTAGGGCTGGGCCCCAAAACCTCATCTCTTTCCCTGTGCTGCAAAGCAGCTGGACTATGACATGCATTTTGCAGGAGGAGTGTCAAGACACGGGTTTTCCTGTTTGCAAGTCCCAGATCCTGGTGAACATCACCTAGGTTGGTTAACCTAGCAGCTGTGCACAGAAGCTGTCTCCAAGAACCCACAGAAACCTCGGGAATGTTTGCACCCTGCAGTGTCCCTTTTCTGTGACAGTCTGAGTGATTTAAGGCCCCCAGGGTGACACGGGGTCATTAAATTCATCTTAGTCCAGTGGCTTCCATAAGACTGTCTGCTTCTTCAGCCTGACTGCAGGCATTTACCTCTGACCACACTGCCACCCTGACTGGATCTGCTCTGACCCTCACCCACAAGGGCTCCCCCACTCTGCTGCCCATCCCATAGAGGAGCTCCATGCATCCAGACAGATCCTTCACATGGAGGGCAAACCCCCTGTTGATCATCCCCGCCTGTCTCTTCTGAAGAATCTGCCCCCATCCAGCACAGCACCCCAAGCTGGGGGACCTGTCCCCCCACACCTCAGCAGCTCTTCCATCAATGTCCCAGCCCTGTGACAGCAGGCGGGGATCCAGCTCCTCCTGCCTGTGCCCCAGGCTGAGGGCATTGGGGCACATCTGGGCTGCAGCAGCTCAGCTGTGGCACAAGGGCCAAACTCAGACTTGTCCCAGACCTTGTGCCAAGAGCCTGGGCATGAAGAGGCTTTCCTTCAGAGCAGAGATTTGCTGCCGTGGATGGTGGATGGGCACAAAAGGATGACAAGGGATCCCAAGAAGGGCAAGGCCTGGTGTTCCTGAGGCCAGAAGGAAACAGGCCTGGGCTGTGCCGCTCTGACAGCAGAGGGCCTTTGTGGTGTTGGTGCAGCCCTGAAGGCCAGTGCTGGAGCTGGGGCTGATCTTCAGGCAGGAGAAGGGGCTGCTGATTTCCCTTGATTTCCCCCATCTCCATTAATGATCCTGGAGCTGAGAAAAGGAGCTCACCTGCAGCTGCCCATGTTATTCACACCTAAACTGAGTGCAGAGGAATCCCAGCTCCCGTGGGTTTGTGGCAGGCATGGGAGGGATCTTTGTCCCATTCCAGCCCCAGGACAAAAAAACAGCATGAGATGTCTTAACTGACTCTGCTGAATCCCTTCCTTAAGCAGGGGGCTAAAGGAGTTACTTTTATGACCATGCCTGGGTGTCCCTTCATCAACTGGGATGAGAAGAGAAGACTGCTACAGATAATTGTTTTTGTGCTAAGAGAAATGAGCCTGCTGTCAAGAAGTGTGTGTGCCCAGGGGAGGGAGGGAAGCCCAGGGATCCCTTCAGGCTGTTTCCCAGCAGGTTCCCCTGCAGCCCCAGGGCCATGTGCAGGGAGCCTGGTGGGGGGCAGAGCAAGGGAGGCCTTGGGCTGGGCCTCTGCTGCTGAGCTGGGCCGGGCTCCTGGGCCCAAGGGGAGCTCCTGGCAAGCGGGCAGCGCTGCAGAGAGACAGCTCTGCCCAGGAGCAGCTCCTCTGCACAGCGCAGCAGGCCTGGGGGCACTGCCTGCAGAGACACAGTGCTTAAAGGCCGGCAGAAGTGGCAGCATGCCCAGAGCTCACCGGGGGAGAAGACTTCGCAGCCCTGCACCCGGTAAGTGTCTGGCTGGAGGGCAATGCAGCCGCAGTTCCTGGAGGCAGGAGAAGCCGGGGGTGCAGGCAGGGGTGTCCAGGGCTGTGGTGCAGAGCAGGGTCCCTGCTGTGGCCCAGGGGCTGTGTGCCGGGGCAGGGCCTCTGCCGCCTGCCAGGCTCAGCACTCAGCCTGCCCGGGGAGCTGCCCAGGGCGCTGCGGGGAGAAGCTGTGGGTGAGCAATTGGCTAACGGGCAGGGCCCAAAGGGTTATGGTAAATGGGGCTGCGTCAGGCTGGCGGGCGGTCACCAGTGGGGTCCCTCAAGGCTCCATTTTAGGGCCGGTACTTTTCAATATTTTTATAAACGGTCTGGATGTAGGAATAGAAGGTATGTTGAGCAAGTTTGCTGATGACACCAAACTTGGAGGAGTTGTGGACTCGAATGAGGGTGGAAAGGCCTTGCAGAGGGATCTGGATAGGTTGGAGAGCTGGGCGATCACCAACCGCATGAAGTTCAATAAGAGCAAGTGCCGGGTCCTGCACCTGGGACGGGGAAACCCTGGCTGCACGTACAGACTGGGCGATGAGACGCTGGAGAGCAGCCTAGAAGAGAGGGATCTGGGGGTGGTGGTAGACAGCAAGTTGAATATGAGCCAGCAGTGTGCCCTGGCAGCCAGGAGGGCCAACCGTGTCCTGGGGTGCATCAAGCACGGCATCGCCAGTAGGTCGAGGGAGGTGATTGTCCCGCTCTACTCTGCGCTGGTGCGGCCTCACCTCGAGTACTGTGTGCAGTTCTGGGCACCACAGTATAAAAAGGACATGAAACTGTTGGAGAGTGTCCAGAGGAGGGCTACGAAGATGGTGAAAGGCCTGGAGGGGAAGACGTACGAGGAACGGCTGAGGGCACTGGGCCTGTTCAGCCTGGAGAAGAGGAGGCTGAGGGGAGACCTCATCGCAGTCTACAACTTCCTCGTAAGGGGGTGTCGAGAGGCAGGAGACCTTTTCTCCATTAACACCTGCGACAGGACCCGCGGGAATGGGGTTAAGCTGAGGCAGGGGAAGTTTAGGCTTACATCAGGAGGGGGTTCTTCACAGAGAGGGTGGTTGCACACTGGAACAGGCTCCCCAGGGAAGTGGTCACTGCACCGAGCCTGACTGAATTTAAGAAGAGATTGGACTGTGCACTTAGTCACATGGTCGGAACTTTTGGGTAGACCTGTGCGGTGTCAAGAGTTGGACTTGATGATCCTTAAGGGTCCCTTCCAGCTCAGGATATTCTATGATTCTATGATTCTATACTTTTTCTCTTTTATCACTAACCAGATCATGTGTCACTAGACATGGCAAAACTGAGTAATTCTCTGTTGCGAATCACGGCCGAAAGCACGACAGACACCAGTTGAGTCAGATCATGCTGCTCCATTTTATTGCCCGAATAGCCCAACTTTTATAGTGAATTTTACAGGGGCGGACAGTGTTTCACACAAGATTATTGGTCAAAAGCACTCAGACAAACAACTATAAGAAAACAACCCCACCTGCAAGAAAAGAACCCCCCTTTTGATTAGCAGTCAGGAAAACAACCCCCTTTGTGATTAGCGGTCACGTAGACCTTGTCCTTGAGGCCAGCTGCTGGTAACAATATTTTCTGAGTTCCTTAATTGGGCGATGTGGGAGTCATTGCCGTGGGAGCTTCTCACAGTTACTCTGGCAGCTTGGTTTGCTCAGCTACAGCAGGCCCTGAGATTTCTAAGGCCTACCCCTGGTTGCTTAAAGCAAGCTCAGATCGAACAATTGTTCCACAGGCACATGTCCACATCCTGTATGCCAATTCCCAGCAATTCTCTTTCTGCAGAAATGTACAGTGTTTTACTATTTTATTCATGTTAGAATTATCAGGTGATGAATTATAAAGCTTCACATCAAACTTATTGAAATTGGGTCATAGTCTTCAGAATAAAAAGTATAATCTTATAAATCACACACCTGAACTTCTGAGCCATTTAAAATTTTATAAGCCAGACTTTCCCAATCTGTAACCTGTTTGACTGTTTTCTGATCTGATTCTCCTCCTGCGTTCTAGGTAGAAAAACAGAACATCATTAGTTCTTTTCAGCTAATAGGCTAATTTATTTGAAAGGAAATCACTTCCAGCTTGGTCAGATCTGTCCTAGGGCCATGGCCAGTGTAAAAACAGATGCACAATCAGAAAAACGTTGTGAATCTGTTCTCCTCTTCTGTACACAGCAGAAAATAGCTAGAACTGGTCATATATGCCCCTGTTCGAAATGCAGGTCAAAGATGCACTTGTGCACTAACCAAATCATCTATTAGATCACAAGTAGCTCTCACTCACTCAGGCATGTCTAAAAACACAGACAAATCCCTCCAGAGTGTGTTCAATGTAGAGGTTAGAAAAAGCGGCAGGTGACGTGATTAGAAGGGTGGTCTGTTTGACAGTAATTGAGCAACAAGAAGTCACAGTGATACCTGAGATAATTAAACTAATTGGAACAAAGTATCACTCATATACTCATACTTCATTGCTGGAATCTGAATCCAGAGGAACTGTGATTTCAACTGTGAACACTAACCTATTTATTGTACTTCAGGAGGAATAACTATATTTGGGTTATCCTGAAGTAAAATAGAGCCACTTACTGGTAAAATAAATTAAGTGTGTGCATTTTCATATAAGCTTTTAGGAGTCAGAAACAGACAAAGTCCAAATAATGATGAATAATGAGATATATTCCTTTGCATTTAATCTTGCAAATTGTTCTGCCTAATGGAAAATGAGAATGTTCAAAATGACAGATTTGGGCTCTAATTCTCTCTAAAGGTCTCTTCACTAAACAGAAAATTCTTTGAGAAGCAGAACTAATGAAGTTTTTATTGGGTTTTTCTGCTCAATGATACCATCAGTCTTTGCAAAATGTGTAAGAACTGCTGATCTCTGAGACCTCTGTCCTTCTCAGATTAGATCAAAAGGAACACAACCAAAATTATAGAAAAAAGGAAGCAACAGAAGGACTGTCAGTTAGACAAGGCAATCATAAATGTCTGCACTATTTTTTTTTATTTTTATTTTTTAAGAGGGTTTGTAGAAATTGCCAAATGAAAAGCCAGTGTCATAAGTATGTATAGTCTGCATGATTTGGCAATATGGTTTAAGGCTCAGAGAGCCACAATGAGCTATTAAAAATATCTGTAGAGCAGAAAGAGTGTATCAGTGTAATCCTTCAATTCAGGTAAATAGCTTCATTAAGAGAGAAGTCGTAGCACTACGGTAACATGACAGTACTGATTTGGGGATCAAGGTTAGTACCTGTACAGTGCTGAGATCAACTTATCGATCTCATGATATGGCAGCAGTTCTTTTAAAAATATCATCACTGTACTCTATAACAAAGAATAAATGTGCCCTCTGTTTCCTGCATTCTGATCCAATGGAAATGCTTTCTGCATCTGCTTTTAGTCACAATGTGTGAAAACATCCTTGATCATGAAAAATTTAGTAACTCTAAAAGCATCTACATCCATTCATGGATTTCATGTGTTAGACAATATAAAAATCGCTAAACTAAAATCACTGAACAAGACTGAGCAGCGAGATCAAAAAGGATGTTTCTGAGCTGGGCCAGTCATCTCAAATCAAAACAGAACATAGCTATGGGGAAACCATTGGATAATAG